AGCAGGGCAACATAAGGATCAGAGTACAAAGAGCAGGGTGGGCCACATCAGTCTCAGAAGTTCTAAGCACCTTCTAGTCTTCTTCTAATGAAACCTGCAGCCACAGAGTTCCTATGTGTCCATTACTTGAGTAAACTCAAAATAGTCTCACCATTTTTCTTTCAGCATAGGGATATTATATGGTACTTTGAGTTCAGCTGAGACCTCAGCCCCTCAAATTGCTGGTGCTTAGGTGTCTGACTTCATCCTGGTACAGGATACAATAACTTTTACCCGCTGAGAGGAGTTTCATCTAATACCCCATGGGTGGGCACAGGAACTCCCAGATTCATTATGCAGATAAGCTAACTTCTTTACACACAGCCCCTGGATTAGAAGTTGTTGATAAAAAAAAATCTAATATTTTTGACCTACATTAAACCCCCCTCTACACAGTCTCTTAGAGAAACATGCCCAGCTGAGGCTGTTGATTACCTTCTGTGTGCTGAGGGGGAGCAAAGCCATATCCTAGGATTGCTTGGTCTCAAAGTAAAAATGGGGTGCAAAGGAAAACTTTATTTTAATAATCAGCAACAGTTACAACGAACCTGGCGGGCAGGCTACTCAGCGTGTGCATTTACGGATTCCAGTAACGTGAAAGGAGCAGATCACAGCCAGACTGACGACGTCTGTTGAGAGGGGCAGAGTTATATTGGCTCTACTTGGATTCACTTGGTAAAGGTTCATCAGTAGCTAGTGTTTTAGGGGACTCAGGTGGCAAGGGACCAGGCGTGTCTTCTACTCTCTCTTGAGTTTGCAGGGGAATCCTTGGAAAAGTCAGTACAGTCTGTGGTACTGGATGGGGTAGATGGGCCCTCTGAGCTGTTGTCAGCAAAATCATCAGGGTCTGGGTTGTTGGAGGCCTAAGACTTGAGTATCATAGGTGGTAGGAATCAGACAGTTGAGGCTTTATGCACCCAGGAAAGATCTGCAGTGTCAAATGTCTCCAGATCATCAGTGGGCCTTCTGAGGCAGTCACCACCCAGCACAAGCATGTTTTGATGCAGTCTCTATTTAATGGGTTGGGTTCTTCAGAAATCAGATTATAGACCGGGGTAGATGGAAAAGACTGCCCCACCACCAGGTATGGAGTGCACTCCCATTTGGGTTCCAGCTTTCTCACTCTAGTGCCTGGTATTTTTGACAAACCGATGTTGCACATGTTCCTCAAATGTCTTGGAGAAGATGATGATATCACCAAGGTATAGTGAAGGAAATAAATATTTGATCTCCTGCTTATTTTGAATGTTTGCCCACTCACAAAGAAATGATCAGTCTAAAAAATCGAATGGTAGGTGTATTGTAACACTGAGAGACAGAATAGCAACAAAAATATTCCAAAGAAATGCATGTCTAACAAATGATGACTGATCTGCATGTTCATGAGGGAAATAAGTAATTGATCCCCTTCACAAAACATGACTTAGCACTTGGTGGCAAATCTCTTGTTGGCAATCACTTGAGCAGAGGGACCTTGCGGGCACTGCAGGATTTCAATCCTTGTTGGCGTAGTGTGTTACTAATTGTTTTCTTGGTGACTGTGGTCCCAGCTGCCTGGAGATCATTGACAAGATCCTCACGTGTAGTTCTGGGATGATTCCTCACTGTTCTCATAATCATTGACACTGCATGAGGTGAGATCTTGCATGGTGCACCAGACCTAGGGAAACTGACAGTTGTTTTGTCTTTGGGGGGAGTGCTGGGGGAGTGTGACGTTACCACTCCCATGTTAGATGGTGTTTTCCCAGTATAGGGGGTCAATGGTTTCAGTAAATCTGTAGTCTACAAGACTGGTGGATAACACCAGTAAGTGCTTCTCCAGTAGCTTATAGAGCAGTCTCTTTTGAGGTAAGGAAAAGTCCTTAAAAAGGACGTGCACTGGGTCTCATCTCAGGAAGCCATGGCTGCCTGCAAGGGGGCACATACCTCCTCAAGCCCTAGTTGGGCCTCAGCCATGCAGTGGTGAGGTGCAGCATATATGTTGGCCAACGAAGCATGCCTGAGCTGTGAGATTGGTGTTGATCCTTGGCTGAAGATCTGTACCAATGAAGCACCATCCTAGTTAGCTAGCGGGAGCTTTAGCTCAATTGTTAATTAGGTGGGCTGAGTAACAGCCTGGGTGCAATAGTTAGCAAGGTCAAATTGTGGTCAGAGCGGAGAGGCTCTGCAGACCAACCCTCTTAAACTTCCCCTTATTCTAGAACTTTGGAGAAAGGTCTGGAAGCAGTGGGCAGATCTGAGGAGTGGCTGAGTTATACTCTTAGAGGACCCTGGCCAATCACCAACAGAAGGCTATTCAAGGATCCAGGACAACCTTTAAGAGTATTTGAGCATGCTCAGCTGTAAGAGCGTTCAGGTGAAAGAGAGATAAGGATGTGAGGCTGGAGACAGGAGCCTGTGAGGGGGCCCAGAAGAAGAGGGACTCACCTGCAGGCAGAGGAAGACTTGCATAGGAGGACTTCACCGTGTCCTGAGAGAGAACCACCTGTGAGGCAGGGAAGGAGCAGTCCAGCTAGAAGACCTGGTAGCAGCCACTGACCCACCAGCAGCAGACGAGAAGGACTGAATGGGTAGACCTGCATAACCTGAGCCAGATAGGGGAAGGCACACTCTTATGGGAAACCAGATTAGCTATCACCTAGGACTGTCTTATTGTCTTAAAATGACAGGCTATGGATACCTGCTCGGGGATTCCTCCAAGCAGCCAGAAAAGAGGAGAGTCTTGGGGTCTGGGGTGATACACCAGGAGAGGCTGGCAAGCTCTCCAGAAGAGGATATTTTTATGTACAGACTTGTAAATAGTTTCAGGAAGTTTGTCCTCAGTTCCAGTTCCATTGGACATCCTGTACACTCCTTACCCATCAAAGTTTTATTATTCCCTAATAAAACATCAAACAAGCTCAAGGACTAGTTACTGTCTCCTTGATGCAAGTCTGAATGGAAAATGTGTTTTGTCTGGCTGTGCAGGACTATAGAGGAACTCAAATCTCTTGCAACTCCTAAGGGAGTAGTGCTACACCAACACATTTCTGTGGTGGACGCTAGATAGGGTATGGCTCACCAACCATTCAACTGGCGTCACAGGATCCTTGTAGATTCCTGGGGCCCCTACTGGCAGGGACCAGACCACCTCTTGTAGCAGTGCCAAGATTAAATTTTGCTTTGTGGCGATTGTCTGATAAATTGCTGCAGAGAGTTCCAGAGGATGGGGAGGCTCTGGAGAAGTCCTGGAGATGAGCATGGGAGACAAGGGAGCTAGAGAGTAGGAGGTCATGTGAGGAGCGGAGAGTACGGTTTGGGTGACTGTTTTTACCAATAAAAATGTGGATGTACTGCACTTAGAAGTGCCTTCTTTCTCTTCTGTCCTGCCTAGAGTCTGCTTCTACTCCTGGAAGTGCTGCTCTAGTGCCTATTCCCACTGTCTCCCTCCACTGGTCTCCAAGGCAGATGCATCCTAAGAACGCCTCTTCTCTTCTGGCAGTAATTTAATGTCGGCCTGGATAGGTTTCTTTACCCAGGTGGTCCACAGGTTTTGGACATGTGTTCACAGCGACCACACTGCCAACATATTCAGTCTTCTTCAGGGCCCTTGCTCAATGCGTTCTCACCCCTATGGGGTTGAAGTGAATTATTTTCAGAGGAAGCTATCTCCTGTTTCAAAGGCGGCCAGATCCTGGGTTACCAAGAATCTTCGCAAGAGCTCTGGCAACGTTAGCTTCTCCCCAGACAGGCCCTCCAAGTGTGATGCAATATGTTCTAAAGTGACCTGCTTGTGTTCTGGGAGTGCCATCACTGCATAGTGGGCATTGGCCTCTAAAGTGTTAATGGCCAGCTCTGCCAGCAGCTGGGTGGGACCTATTACAGGCACGTGGCACTCTCCTGTCTCTCCTTCAACTCTGCCAAAAGGATGTTAGAGCCATTAAACCTTGGTACCAGTGCTAAGGCCAGTCCTAGTGGTGCCATGCTGGAGGCCAGTCCTTCTTCCGCACCAGCTGCAAGGGACATATCCTACCGACTGCTGAAAAAGTGTAGGTGGGGTGCAGGATGTACAGTGGCAATAACTCACACAGACAGGTGCAAGGAAAAACTTGTATTGAAATAATTTACCAACAGTCACAACAAACCCAGTGGTCAGGCTACCGAGCCGGATGCACTCATGGATTCCAGTAATGTGAAAGGAGAAGATTCCAGCAGGACTGACAGCGTCTGTTGATAAGGTGAGAATGCGGCCATCTCGTGCTCAGTTAGGAAGGGGCCCAGATAAGTTACAACCCTATGCTTTCACTCCTTGTCAGGAACCTTTCCCTAATGCTAGTTCTGTCTCTACCAGGCGGGGTACCTGTCCCTACTCTAGCAACTCGCAAAATGCTTGCCAACCCCGGGAGCCAGGGCATTAAATAGGCTCTGCCTGACCCAAAATGACTGCTAGAGTCACATGGGGTGGCAGGATTCAATAGGATAGCTTCCCCAGTGACCCAGGAAACCATAAAGGAAGAACTGTTCCTTTTGACTTGTGCCACCTGCAGTGGAGAAAGTAGACTGCACCTGCCTACAAAGACTGTCAGAAGTGACTCATGAAGATAGAAGAGGAAGGAGAGATCAGAGAGGAACCATGGCAGGTGCTTTGGATTGAGGCTGGCACACACTATATAGGGATATACCTTGTTCATTTTTTATTTTAGAGGTTTATAACCACTTTACAGCTCAACCCCAGCCTTACCTTTTCCTTCCCACACTTTTAGCAAGTCCTCTCCTGTGCTGAAACTGATTGATCTCAATTCCCTGTTAACAATTCAGCAGCCATTTATCAATCCCTTCACCTTCTGATACTATTGTTTCCCTGCCTCTCACGGCTATTGGCTTTCTCTGCCATGTTCCCTGGCATCCCTTTAGGGTATGGTGAAATCACCAACCAGCAGCTTGCACAGCTAAAATCTGGAGCAAGGGCGGAATGACAACTCATGGGGCCCCCGGGCAATAGGGGATCATGGGGCCCCTGTGTCCTCACCCACACTCAAACCACACCCAAAAAAAGCCTATGAAAGGTACTAGGGGCATCTCATGGGGCCCCCTACTGACCCAGGGCCCTTGGGCAGTGCCCGAGAGCACAAATGGTCAGTCCGCCCTGGTCTGGAGCTCCCGGTGGCCAGTAGGGAGGATCATGTATGACTAAAGACATGGCAGGGATATGTTCTTTCATATTATGCTTTCCAAAAAAATCTGGGGGGGGTGCTGTGATGTTTACAGGTGCCTTCCCAGCCCCTCCCATCAGACTCAGAGAAAAGACCAGTATAGACACCCAGTGATGATTTTATTGATTAATGTTAATTTCATCTTGATCAGGGTGAACAGTGGAAGGTAGTATGTACATTACATCTCAGCTTTAAGTATTTTAAATGCTTACTTGCACCAGCTTTCCTTTCTGTAAAGATTTTTTTTATTACTTAGTTGTACAGTGCCTCTGAACCTACCTCAGGAAAGTCAATTCCGTAGCACAACCCCCTCCTTCCTCACATGGCCTTCTCCTTTTTCCGGGTGTGTCCAATTACTGTCTGTGCTGGCCCAGCTTCTCCTCCCCTCCTCTCCCTTCCCTACACCACCTTTTGTGTAGCTGCTGGGGGAGGAGTTAAGAGGAAGTTTAATGAAAAAAAAAATGTAAAAGTGTAAAAAACAAATATAAGTAAAATAAACAAAAATAATTTAAAAAAATTGTAAAAGCTCCCTCGCCCCCTAATTTGCATACACGCAAATGCAAGTATAAGTGTAGGTCCGGCATGTATATGTAAACGGTGATTGTGCATTAGACATGTGAGGTACGTCAGAGTGAGAGAAATAATCCTGGGACCATAAAGTCGTGTTCACACTTGCTCAAAAAATACTGACTCTTAACAAACACACCTATAGAGTTAATGCGAGCTGTTTGTTGAGTTTGTGTCGTGGTAAAGGCGAGTGTAAAACGCTCCCCAAATGCCATATGTGTTTTGACATGAGCAATAAAAACACAACCGAGATGCCTAGGTTTTTTCTTGGCTGCTGTGAACAAGGCCTGACTTCCGGAATTCCCAGGAGTGGGTCGTGTGTTGGGAGGGGTTGAGCTGTGCCTGTTTGTAAGACTACCGCTTCATTGGCTGTGAAAATGGTGAATGTACTGAAAGGAGTCCTGGTGGAGTGATCCCCCAGGAACCAATATTCCAAATACGTTCCACTCCCGCCAGGGCTGCTGATAGAAATCACGGGGCCCCATATAAACTACCTGACAGCCACCCCCCTTCCCAAGGAAATATCAAAGTGATATTTTGCTTAAAATACAATGAAATCATTAATAGCAAACACAACACAACTTACTAAATTCGTCTTTGTGGAGGAGGTCTGGGGCTTATTCACATGGCTGCTGTGGCCTGTACAGTGTGAATCAGTGGTTTGTGCATGTGGCTGGAGCCACCTGAAGCTGAGTGCAGGCAGCCTATGTTATGCTATGGGAATGCACTGACTGTACAAACACAGCTGCAGGTCCTAATATGACAGGCATGTGGATTTGGGTGTATGGTCCAAAATATGCATTTAGGGCCACTGATCCACACCTGTCAAATTAGGGCCTATGGCTGTGTTCATAAAGCCACAACAGAGTGACAGGCAGCTGCACTGAGAACCAGTGAGAATGGGTCCTTATTTATATTTTTTTAACCAATTTTTTTTTAACAACCCTGTTGGCAAGGGGGGAGGGGGGGCTTTGCTGAAATATCAGGGGTGTAAACAGACCCCTGATGTCTCCCTTTTGAGACAGAGAAAGAAACTGAGAACTGCAGATGAATGAACAGGAACTGCACTATACAGAGGCTCTTGTTCATTTACAAACTGAAGCATAGTAAACATGGTTTACTATGCTTCAGTCACAAATAAATACTGTGCCAATCACTCACTGTATTCATTCAGGAAAGGACAGGGCAGGCAAATATGACATATTTACCAACTCCCCTCTATCATGAAATGATCCCCCTGTGTGCCCATAGCAGCTGACAGCTAGAGGAGGGAGAGGAGGAGAAGCTGGTAGCTGTGGGAAGGGAGATTTGGGGGGGGGGGGGGGGTAGTGTTGTATCCTACTGCTTAATTATCTAAAATCATATCTATATTTTCTATAGATATGAAAAATATACTAAACAAAATCATTAAAAAATATAAATATAACAAAATGATTAAAATGTTATTGTAAATGCATACATGTGGGACTCATGGTCGCATCACAGTTCTCTCAATAGACAGCATGGCCGTCCATTGAGAGTGCAATACACCTACACCGGTGACATCACCGGATGTTACACATGGAAATATCTCCTAAACGGTGCCTGTTTAGGAGATATTCACTAAGCTTTATTATAGGCTCACCTGGAGGTACAAGAAAAAAAGAGGAGTTTAGTACTGCTTTAACCAGATCAGTTAGTAAATGGTTAAAGAGATCCAGTCTGGAGGAGAAGAGTGCGATGCCCAGCTACATAAACTGCATGGGGACAAGATAAAAGGCATAGGGCAAGAACGGGTGTATAGCAGTACATTCTTCATCCTATGGGAATGTAGCTGATCATTTGTGACTGTCTGGAGACAGAGCAACCAGGAAGAGAGCACAAAAGAATATACAGGTGTATCTCAGTTTACAAATTTATTGCGTTCTCCGGGACGTTTCATATTGTCAAAAATTTGTAAGTTGAAATGTGGTTTCCCATAGGAATGCATTGAAAACCAATTAATCCATTCCAGAGGTCAAAAAAAGTTTTAAAAAACTCACTGTCACTATAGATCAGTGTCGGTTTTTAAATGTAATTAACGGGGTTTTTTTTCTTCACTATAGCTCAGAGAATCAGCTGTCACTTTCCCCTCAGCTAAAGAGAAACAATGTTTCCTTTTAGTTTATTTCCTGGAGTTAAAAGAAACAAAGTTTCCTTTAGTTCCGGGGAAAGTGACAGCTAATTCTGTGAGCTACAGTGAAGAAAAAAAAAATGCTGGCAATTGCATTTAAAAATCGTCACTGACATACACTGCGAAAAAAATTTGTAAACAATTTGTAGACTAAGAGGCGTTAACCGAGGCGTTCGTAAACCGAAGTACACCTGTAGAGGTTGGGCAGTTGGAGCACCGAGATCAGCAGAGAGACAGGAAAGGTGAGACAAGACAAAGAGCACAGGATGGAAGGACTGCAGGGAAACTAAACGAGCCACAATTGATAGGACTGAGAAGGGGAAAGACCGGAGCATGATTGCAGGGATAGGGGGAAAGAGAGTGAAAAGGGCAAGTCTGGAGCGATGGGTCAGGGATGAGAAACACAGTTACAGAGGCAACAGATTGACATTAGAGCTGCACTGTGGGAGAATGACAGGAGACTGTAGAATGGAGGTGAGTTTAGCAGCTGCAAATGTGATTGTCAGTTGCCGGGCCCCCTGCTGATGAAATGGTACCTGGCCCCCTACAGGAGGAGCGGAGGTACCCCCATATCAGCGGCCCTGCTCCCTGCTACCCACACAATTGGATGTGATGTCTACTGGAGGAAATCTCCAGTGCCTGTTTCTAGTGTCCCAGAACTCTCAGGAAATGCCAGGAGCCACCAGCATTGCCGCCTGACACCGGACCCAAAACCTGGCACAGTGACCCAAATCTCACCACATAGCGGATGCCGATTACATGACAAGCGCTCCTCCACTATACTTTTGTGAGTTGCCTGTATTATTTGTTTTATTAATGTTTCAACTGCTGCACTTAGAAGGCGCCCTTCTTTTTTTTCCCTTGGTCTCCTCACAGGGTCCTTTCTAGCTCTCTATGGGCTAGTAGTGAAGGAAAACCAAGGGCTGGGCCCACAGATTCAGCGGGTACACAATGCCACACAGACACAGACAGTGGTTCTTTTACAATTACGTTTACTGAACAGTTATACTGAAAGCAGCCTGGCTGCGCCTGAATGTTCCTGAGCAAGATATAATGTTGGGGTGCACCTTAAGTATTGCGCAATACTATTTGTAATCCAAAGGAAAGTGCAGTATGTCTCTTGTAGCTTTCTGGTATATCCAAAATGTCACTGAACACGTGTGGTGCGATGTGCTACGGCAAAGCCGCACTTACAGTTCCTTGGCAGGCTCTTGGTGCTTTTTCCTGATCCACTGGTCCACTCCAGAACCGGACCATACAGTCACTTGTTTCCCGGTCTCGTCGCAGTGAATCTTCCCTAGGTGCCGTCGCCAGACTCCACTGTGAGCCGTAAATCCTCTTCCAGGTTCCACACAGATTCTTCAGACGTCCTCAGCATACACCAGCCAGACACAGACTCCCTGTCACTTTCTGCTCTGCACCGGAACTCCCCCCCTTCCCAGAGAGTTTGTGATGCAGTAAGTCATTTCCTAATTGCAGCCTCAAACCTGCACTTACAGTTCATTATGACCCTTCTGAGGGTCCTACTCAGCCCCTTAATTAGCATTAATTAAACTTTATAAGGTAAATAAGCATTAGTTTTGTCTTAGTAAACTTCAATGCAAAATCGATTCTTGTTCTTTGCTGCCATCTACTGACCAAAGAGCATATTGCAGGCATATTACAGTTTAACATTGCACATCAGTATTTATCCATGCCCCACACCCTTACATGCCACCCCACTAAAATATTGGCGTCCCGACAACACTACCAAATAAATTTGTCTGCTGCATAAGTCCAGATCATCTTCTTGCACCTGAACCCATTCCTCTTCAGTCTTCCCCAGTAACACTGTGTTAAGGGTGGCCACCCCACTTGAACTGGCCACGGGTGACTGCTGAGGCACTCTGCCCAGATCGGGTATCTCAGTCCCTTCATCCACCTCACTGACTGGGACTTTCCAGGTGACTCTAGACAGTGCATCCTCATTTGCGTTGTCCTGTCCTTACCGGCACGGTATATGATGGTATAATCAAACTTCGCTAGCCTTGCCATCCACCTCTGTTCCAAGGTGCCCAGCTTCGCGTTCTGCAGGTGAGCCAATGGGTTATTGTCTGTGAGATACCCTGAGAACTTTTCAGTCATTGCCCAGACC